CTGTCAACAGGTGTTTTTCCAGTCGCTTTTGAAACTGATCTGGTGAAGACTCTGCTAAAAAAGAGTGGCATGGATCCTTCCATACTAAATCATTTTAGACCAATTTCAAACCTACCTTTTTTAAGTAAAGTTGTTTTCAAACAATTACGCATTTCTAATTTCAAACTCAGCTCAGTTCACATTTTATTAGACATTCAAGCTCAGTGCTCACTTTTAAGAAGCATCTGAAAACGCCTCTCTTTAACTCAGCATTTAATTAAAACTTATCTTTTAATTTGATCTGTGATTTTCCTATGGTTCTAAATTAATATTTATAATTTCTTGGATAACTTTTTTATCACCTGTCTGTAAAGCAAATAATAATAATAATAATAATAATAATATCTAAATATCTAAGAAAAACATAATTCAATACAAATAACATTAACACAGTAAGTAGTGACTGTATGCATGTCAGCGTATTGGTTTAGCCATTTCCTGTCCTCTCCTCAAAGGAGCCCTGTATTAATTCTAGTTATCATACAATACCTGGTTTATCTAATCAATACTTTATTAAATTAAATCAGGTGCTGCTGATGGAGTTTAATAAATCTACACTCTTAAAAAAAGATGGTCTTCAAGGGTTCTTTAGTAAAGGCAAATGCGTTCTAAGACTTCTATATAGAACTGTTTCACACTTAAATGGTTCTTTGCATGGTGAAATGGTTCTTCAGATTGATGGAAAATGTGTTGTGTTGTATATGGTTCTACATAGCACCAAAAAGGATTCTACTACTGTTACAAGCCTGACATCATCAAAATAGAATGCATTTTGGTGCTATATTAAAACATTTTCAAAAGGGTTCTATATAGAACCCTGTACAACACATTCTCCAGCAACCTGAAGAACCATTTCCATAGAACTCACAGCACTCAAAGAACCCATTCGCCTGTACTAAAGAACCCTTGAAGACCATCTTTTCTGCAATATTTAATGACAGATGGTGACTTCACAAGCAAAACACACTCACTGCCCAGATACACCAATCAGGCATAACATTCTGACCACCACCTTGTTTCTATGCTCATTGTCCATTTTATCAGCTCCACTTACTATATAGGTGCACTTTGTAGTTCTACAGTTACAGACTGTAGTCCATCTGTTTCTCTGATACTTTGTTAGCCCCCTTTTACTCTGTTCTTCAGTGGTCAGGACCCCCATGGACCCTCACAGAGCAGGTACTATTTGGGTGGTGGATCATTCTCAGCAATGCTGTAACACTGACGTGGTGGTGGTGTGTTAGTGTGAGTGGATCAGACACAGCAGTGCTGCTGGAGATTTTAAACACTGTGTCCACTCACTGTCCACTCTATTAGACACTCCTACCTTGTCAGTCCACCTTGTAGATGTAAAGTCAGAGACGATAGCTCATCTGCTGCTGCACAGTTTGTGTTGGTCATCCTCTAGTCCTTCATCAGTGGTCACAGGACGCTGCCCACAGGACGCTGTTGGCTGGATATTTTTGGTTGGTGGACTATTCTCAGTCCAGCAGTGACACTGAGGTGTTTAAAAACTCCAGCAGCACTGCTGTGTCTGATCCACTCAGACCAGCACAACACACACTAACACACCACCACCACGTCAGTGTTCCTGCAGTGCTGAGAATGACCCACCACCCAAATAGTACCTGCTCTGTGAGGGTCCATGGGGGTCCTGACCACTGAAGAACAGGGTAAAAGGGGGCTAACAAAGTATCAGAGAAACAGATGGACTACAGTCTGTAACTGTAGAACTACAAAGTGCACCTATATAGTAAGTGGAGCTGATAAAATGGACAATGAGCGTAGAAACAAGGAGGTGGTCAGAATGTTATGCCTGATCAGTGTAAATGGTTTTAAACAATGAGCTTAGGGACCTAAAATGTTTGCAGAGCACTGTATCTGCACATGAGGAGAAACCAAAGACACATTTCTGCTGAGATGAATGATACAGTTAATCTAAATCTAATCTAATGTAACTAATCTGTAATTTAGTGGAACATGTTAGAGCAGCATGAGGTCCCACAGGACAAGATCTGACCTTCAGATGTAGAGCTGGAGTCTTTATTTCAGACCGAATCGCTCTGCTGTTACCGATCCAGTGTGTGTGTGTCTGTGTGTGTGTGTGTGTGTGTGTGTGTCTGTGTGTGTGTGTGTGTGTGTGTGTGTGTGTGTGTGTGTGTGTGTGTTAATGAGGCGGAGCACAGCTGCTTTTACACCATTACATCATCATCACGAAACCTAAACCACATTTCCACTGAGGGAAACGCTGGAGCCGCCATTAAAGTCTGGTACAGATCTGCGCCGCTCAGACCTCCTCCATCCTTTTTTGACACCTAATTTAAAAAGCTCATTATGTCACTTTATGTCCAGGATAAGTAGAGTAACAGCACATACTGTCCAGAAATGTTTATAAAACCGAGCAAAGCTCTCCTCGGTCAGCGAGTTGGAGGTTAACCTGCTCTACGAGAGCACCAAACACCTCAGACTGCAGCCTTTATCTACACGAGCAGGATGTTTTACAGCAGAATTAAATTGCACACCCACTACTGTCAAACTGCTCAGTCTGTGTGTGGAGACTTAACACACTGGATTATAAGGCAGACAGAGGCGTTCACTCTGGAGTCTGGAGATGCAGCGATATGGAATTTATTATTATTATTATTATTATTATTATTATTATTATTATTAATGGACATTTGACAGAGGGGTGGACTCGAGTCACAAATTTAATGACTGGAGACTCGACTCAACAAAATCAAGGAAGACATGCGACTCAATTTTGACTCAAACACCAGTGACTTGGACTCTGACTCTGACTTGGTGTGGACTCGAGTAACAAATTTGATGACTTGAGGCTCAAGTCGACAAAATCGAGGACGACTTGCAACTTGATTTTGACTTGAACACCAGTGACTCGGACTTGGTGTGGACTCGAGTCACAAATTTGATGACTTGAGACACAAATTAACAAAACTGAGGAAGACTTGCGATTTTGACTTGAACACCAGTGACTCACACTCTGACTCTGACTTGGTGTGATGAATTGAGACTTGACAAAAATCAAGAAAGACTTGCAACTCAACCTTGACTCGAACACCAGTGACTCGAACTCTGACTCGGTGTGGACTTGAGTCATGATGATGATGGATATGATGACTTGAGACTCAACTCAACAAAATTGAAGAAGATTTGTGACTCGATTTTGACTCGAACACCAGTGACTCGAAACACGTAGAGGCATCTGACTGCAGGCGGGATTTGCTTTCTGCCGTAAATTTAACACACAGCAAACTCAAACGTCCGTTACTGTGTTTATGCTGGGCTTATTTTATTTCGGAAGACCAGTGAAGCGTTTAGAGTTCAAATTCACCTCCACAAACTGGAAATAAGCGAAGCATCAATAAGCCCAGCTCAGCACTTAAACTCCATCTTACTGGAGAAACTTACCAGGTGAGCTGACCACTGTCCCCACAGTGTTAAAACAAAAGAAACACAGCTCTCTCTATTTAACCGACTTTAACAGCTTGAACAGGTAAAACCAGCGCAACATTCACCATGAAGCTATAGTTTGATTAGACAATCAGACAGTCAGCTCAGAGCTCACCTTTAATAAACATTTGAAAACGCAGCTCATTAACGCAGCGCTTAATTAAACCTCTACGTCTCTTTAGTGTTTATCTTTTAGTTTGATGTGTCATTGTCTCATAGGATTTCAAATTAATACTCATAGTTTCTCCTATTACTGTTAAGATTTACCATCTGTCTGTGAAGCACTTTGACCTGCCACCAGTATAAAAATTGCTCTATAAATAATGATATTATTATTATTATTATTTTTATTATTATTATTATTATTATTATTATTAATAATAATAATAATAATAATAATAATAATTCACAGTTACATGTCTTGTTTGTTTATTAGTGAATATAAGTTAACATCCTCTACACAGAACACACAAATATGGAAAATTTTAGTTTCTGTTTAAGTGCTAAGTTCAGCATATTGGGAAGAAAAAAAACAAACAAACAAATGCCATAACTTTAGCACAGGCCAAACTTTATGTTTTATGTTTTTCCCAGTGTATCAAATTGAACACATAAACAATAACTGTGCATTAAAATATGCAGAAGTGTGTCTCTGTAGAAGATGTGTAACTTATTTACACTTAAATCAACACATACATGTCATTTGACCAGGGCGCCCAAACTTTTGCATACATCTGTATTTCACCTCATACCTTTTTGCTAAAGTGCTTCAGCTGAGCTCTGCACTCTCTGCTGTGCAGCACCATCTAGTCCAGCTCCGACTGACTCTATTCGTCTTTTTATAAATAAGTGTTTCACCACCTTAATGAAGTGATGAGTGCAGACTGAGTGAAGTGTTGGGATGTATTTAGGGAAATGATTTGGGTGACTATTGACTTCTAGTGTTTGTTAGCATTAGGCTTGTAGATTGTAACTAAAGAAGGAAAATTTGTACACCAAACAAGGGGTGGGCAATATGACAAAAATATTATATCACATGCTATAAACATTGTTATTCTTATGATGATAATATTTATTTATTTTGCTGCTGTCGGATCAAAACCTCGTATCTCAAAATAGTAACTTTACAGGAGAAGGAAAAAACCTACTTTACTTTTAATGTAAGTCAATGGAACCAGATTTTTTTTCCAAGTCATTTTGGGTCGTTGCTTTCGGTCCGTTCATCATGAAATTTACACACAACATAAAGGGCAACAGACATTTTCAAAACATGTGAAAAAATAAAAAAATCGACAAAAATTAAGATTTTTGTTTCTACAGCAGCTGTGTGCATAATAATATTGTGCCTCATGCTGTGACGTAACAGTGAAAGCCAAAGGCAGATTTCCAGACAAAGATAAAAGTTATATCTAACGTGTAACATAAAATGTGTAAATAAATTTTTTTGCAAAATAATTTTACAAAAGCACCAGTGGTGAGAAGGGTCTTACCTCCAGCCACCTCTAGAGGGCCGTTCTTCTTGCGTAGCTCCAACACCGCTTCACCAAACTCCTTCCCTCCCTTCTTCTCCAGTGCACTGCCTACAAAAACCACATTCTGCCATCACTCCTGCGTCTCTCGTCTACAGGCTGATCAAATGAACGACTGATGGAGGGACTTTAAAATAAAGTCATGCAACAAACAAACCAAAATGTTTCCTATAAACATCCAACATATCAAATACTAGGTTGAGGGTGAAGTGGATAAGAAACATCTACGTCACTAGATGGTTCTTCAAGGGTTCTTCAGTAAAGAAAATGGTTCTCTATAGAACCACGAACACTCAAAGAAACTTTGCGTGATGAAAGTGTTCTTTGCATGGTGAAAGGGTTCTTCCGATTGATGGAGAACGTGCTGTAGATGGTTTTATATAAAACCGTTTGTTGTAATTGTAATTAATTGTAATTGTAATGACACCAACAATAGCAACTGTTACAATAGCAGAACCCGTTTTAAATAGGTTCTATATACATTCTCCTTCAACCTGAAAAACCATTTCACCATACAAAGACCAACTAATCATGTAGTGTTCTTTGACTGTTCATGGTTCTATATAGAACCATTTCCTTTACTAAAGAACCCTTTAAGAACCATCTTTAAATGTGTACTGTTCAAAAGTTTGGAATCAACATTTTCAATAGCATAAACTATTGTTCAAAAAATCTGCTTGAATATAAATGTATAAAATTATTCTAATCTGCTACTTCACGGGTTCCAGATAATCAGTATGAAACTAGGAAGCTGTAAACAGAAATAAATGTGTACAGAAAGATTAATGGAGCTGTTGAAGATTCTAAAATGACTGCAAAAGCTGTAAAACATCAAAAATGAAGGTGTAAAAAAATCTGATATCCAGAATTCATCATATTTCAAAAGTGGGGATTATATTTCAAGGCAGAACTTAATGTAAAATTAAAGTAGACGGATCATTAAAGAATCTTCTTTAACATTTAATAACTACTCACTCACTGAATTGTTGAAATACTGAATGAAACATCTTTAACAAATTGTCTATTTAAATCCATATAAATTATTATTGCATACAAAATATCTAAAAAAATTGGATACGGCAAGCGATTCCAAATTTTTGAGAGCCAGTGTAGGTCACAGGAAACAGTGCAGACGTGCATGCAGGTTAAAAGAAAATAAATCTTAACATTTAAGCCACAGAAGCCAACTCGAATGGGGTGGATGTATAAATTCAATGTTCTCACTGCTGTGGTGTTAGAAAGCAAAGCGTCAGGGCACAGCGCCAAATGTGAAGGGTGCAAATCAAGTTTAGGCAAATCTGGAGCTCTGAAACTTCCTAAAGACAGTAAGGAAGTAAGTGAGAAAAGACTCGACTGATTGATAGCTGTATGCTGGAGTGGAGCTGGATTAGTTTTATCTGCTAAGTAATAATTATAGAGAAAATGACCTTCTGTGATTCCCTGAATTTTGAGATTACTGAGTAAAAGCAGTTCTGCTTGAATTCACCTCATAGTAACATAATAACAAAACCTGCTAATAGATCTTTTCTAGAAAATCACTAAAATGGACCTGTTAGCACACTTTGTTTATCCTTAAGATCAAAACAAGACTGTAATCTAAACCTAAGCTAATAAGAAAGAAAATGAAAATTAAATTTACATTAGATTTTAGTCCTGTTTACATTTGTTAAATTAAAGTCAGCTGTACTAGCCTAATGCTATTCAATCTGGTATTAACTGGGATTAAGTGTTCGGACAACCTTAACGCTGACATGAACGTCCAGACTGTGATGTTTCGATACGGGCTATCTGGGTTAATCTGGGTAATTCTCACACACTGTAAGAGAAATAAATAAATAAATACATACATAATTTTAAATCTTTTCCAAAGCCTTTTTATTTAAATTTTCTCAAGCTAGTTTATACAAAAGCTCATTTTTTTTATCAAAAATAAAAATCAAATCTTACCTAAACATTTAAAGATGGTTCTTTAGTAAAGGCAATGGACTTTGAGTTCTATACAGAACCATTTGCATGCTTAAGTGGTTCTTTGCATGGTGAAAATGTTCTTCAGATTGTTGGAGAATGTGTTGTGCGATGTTCTATATAACACTAAAAAGGGTTCTTCTATTGTTAAAAGCTTGACATTGTAACAGCAGAACCCTTTTTGGTGCTTTATAGAGCCAACACATTCTCCTTGAATCTGAAGAACAATTTCACCATGCAAAGAACCATTTAAGCATTTAGTCATCGCTAATTCCCAACCACAGCCCTCGGCGCCCAAATTGGGAAGAGGGACTGTGTAAAACTCTACCAAAACATTTAAGCAATTTCAGCTTATAAGGATTTTTTTGTTTCTTTTATTTCAGTAAGCTGAACTTAAACTGTATTTTGCTGATGCAGATCAGATGCAGTAATTTAGGAGAATTTCTGATGAAACTAAGTTGAGAAAATCTTGAAAAATATATATTTAGACTTTTGAATTTTCAAGTTGACCTGATGTTTAATTCACAGCACAGAAATTTTACCCCATAAAACTCAGCAAGTCAAGTGACCCTAAGGGACTGATAACACTAATCCAGCTCAAATAGGGCTTTAATCAGAGCCACTGAACAAACACTGTTAAAGAAAGTGCTAAAAAATGCAAAACATCACAAAACTGAACTGCTGAGCTGCTGGAGGACGTTTCAATCACAGTGCTGTATTATAAACACTACAGAATGAAGGAAGCTACAAATGCAGAACAGGCAGCACGTTTGTCTATGAGTTATGAGCTTCATGCAGACATCTAATGAGCGCTACAGCTAGGCAGGCACTTTCTTTTCTCAGTGCACAGTGACCCGTACAGGCGGAGGAGACTCCTTTACCTACTTCCCCACCCGTGTAGAGGGAGGAGTTGGTCGGATGAACAACAGCGTCACTGTCGATGGTGGCAATATCAGCTTGCACAACTTGCAACTACAACAACGACAACAACAACAACAGGCAAACAACATGGTGTGAAATTTTGGAAATGACAGGCAGATGAAGGCAGTGGGCACAAAAAAAATGGAGGGAAGGGAAAAGAAGGCTGAAAGTCTCAATGGGAGAAAAGCCACAAACAATTCTGCTGTGTTTACTGTCAGAAAAGAGTGACGGGGTGACAGAAGACTGTTGAAGCGAGCCTGAGGAACAGTCAAAATCACAACACTGCCCAGATCTGACACAGCCCCCTTCTGAAAAGAGGTTTCATTTCAGGCTAAATCATTCAAATCGTCAGATTTCAGGAAAAGGTACCTACGGACTATTTCAGATTTGCTTAATATTTTGAGGAATTAATGTCACTGTATCCAACAGATCAGGTACAAATTCTTAGGCTTGTATCTTGAGACATTTCTGAGATATTGAGGCCTTAATAAGTGGATGTGGCCTTAAAGGAGCAATATGTAATACTGACAGCGAGTGTTTAAAATGGGTACTGCAGTCTAAATGCAAAATATTGAAGAGAGCTGCCCCCGCGTACTCCTCCCCAGACTCGAAGCTCATGTGGGTTGCCAGGTTGAGGATACTGAACCTATATAAACAGGCGCAACACTAAACTTTAACAATAGCAAGCGACAACAAGTCCTACACCGTAAGTTGATCAGCTAATGTACACGTTTTTCTGTTTGCCAATCATAAACCAGTCTGTTAATGTAAGCTAGATGCATAGCTAGCTATGTATGGCAGCCAAAGCCAAGTTTGTTGTCCCGAAAACAAAAGCCCACTGCTCCCAAAATATACACTGAAGTTGGAGTTACTACTTTCCAGGCCCCAAAAACATATCGCTCAATTGAACATACGCTAACATCAGATGAAACTCAATGCTAACCTGTTCAGGAGAAAATTAGCAAACTCAGCATCTGTCTCAAAGTCCTTCTGGGCTTGTGCTTTACTGCATCTCTGGTCATGGAGCTTTTTAGAAGGATGCCGGGGCTTTTTAGGTCGGGTAGAATCTAACGTTACCTCTGTTTATCCAGTTCATTTGCTGGCTTCCATGGCTGAAGCATGCTGTGTTTGCTGGCCAATTAGGTTCATATCTGGCAACCCAGGGTGTCAAAATGTTGCTGGGAAATGGGCAGTGGGTGGGATCACAGGCCAAAACACAAACAGACTTTTCCGCTCCGGAACAGAAATTATAAAGGAGAACATACTTGTTGTAGCGCTGCTGTCGGAGAAGCCAGTATTTCAACTCAGCATGTTCCCCTAATCTCTGATCACATATCGTGGTCTTTTTATGATTTAGTACAGTAAATATTACATATTGTTCCTTTAATTTTTGCCTTCTGTAGAAAAAGAAAACTTTGCTAAGTCATTTTTTAAAAGTTATTTTTTTTAAGTTTTGAAAAAAGTTTTTATTAAGTTTTATTTAAGTTTTTATTAATACTAGATGCATGAAAATACAAGTGCTTTTTTAGAGGGGCAATTAACTACCAAAATAGAAGATACTGAAATGCATGCAATTTTATGTCTAGACAGACAGACAGATAAATAGAGAGATAAACAATCAGATGGATAGATAGATAGATAGATAGATAGATAGATAGATAGACAGACAGATAGATAGACAGATAAACAGACAGATAGATAGATAGACAGATAGACAAACAGACAGACAGACAGACAGACAGATATCTGTATTTGGTCATCCTATTTTTATATCCATATCTATAAAAGGCAGGATAAAGCATTTCTAGACTTTCAATTTATGGTATTTAGTACTCAGAACAAGTCTACCATGCAAGAATTTACACTGTTGTAAAAAACACAGTTCAGTTAATAAATGTACCAAACATGAAGTTTATATCTTAAGCCAAACTCTATTTATTACAGTGTGAAACTCCTTAGTTTATTAAAAAAGACAGAAATTTAAAGTTTATTATAAAACTAATTCCTAGTTGTAAAAAGTGTTCTGTTTACACCTGTGAAAGACAAATCCTAATTGGCAAAACTGTAACATGAGATATACAATAGAGAAAAATATAGAAAAATGTAGAAAAATGTGAACTTTGAAAGGTCATGTGTTTTGAACATTTGATGCTAGACGCACAAAATTTTCTGTAGTTATTCTCTTGGTGTTTAACACGTTTGTCACTGTACTGCATGATTTTTTTGTGTGCACTAAAGCAAACTGGGCCTTCTTCATCTGAAGTTCACCATATCTTTAGAATTTTGGTCTTTATTACTCATAACAGCACTTTTTTGCCAGTTAGATTTTAGCCTTGTACAGTTATAAACAGCACAATTATCAGTATTTTAAATTTATCATTTTTTATACATTTCACAATTCAATAAACATAGTTTGTCAACTGCATAATACCAACTGCATATTTAGTGCATTTATTAAGTGAACTGTGTTCTTTCCACTGGAATGATTTTTTGTATGGTAGACTTTGTCAGACATGAGCAATATGCATTTAAAATGTAGACACTGACAGCTCAAAAAATTGGAAACGTTGATTGCCAGTTGCTAAAAGTATGCTGTAATATGAGTATATATATAATATATACTATATATACTATACAATATATACTAAAAACAGATCATTTTAAACCAATGTACAATCTCTGAAAATTTCATGCATCTAGCACCAATATGTCAGAAGTTATGACTGATCAAAATTTGCACATTTTTTTCCATAGCGCCCAAAAATTAAGGCCCACTTTTTAAAACCTGTATATCTCAGAAACGCATTATAGAATAAGCCTAAACTTTTGCACGCAATCTGTTGGGTACAACAACATTATTTCCTAAAAATATTAAGCAAATCTGAGATGGCCAGTCGTTAGGTAATTTAACTTGATGGATTAACTTGTTTTGGGATCATCAAATCTACAATATCCCCATTAAATTGTGAATTTCGTTTTCAAGTATTTATCAAATCCAGGCAGACAACATGTCTCCTACACTCAAACTCCCAGGTTGCGCCGAGTCAAAATGATCCCGTCATTGCACAAACTCAAGCGGTGCCATATTTTCCAGTCTGCTAACAGAGGCTGAAGGGTCAGTTCACCGCAATAAAAAAGGCATTACTTGCTTGTGCAATGTCAGCAAAAGCGAAACGCTCTGGGCAGAATCGGCAGGTTTTCTGGATCCGGGCCCGCGGTGCCGCTCACCTAGATCATCTTTAAGGTCAATGTCAGCATTGGTCGGATTGATTACCCCTTCCACGTCAAAGCCAGCCAAGTTACTGATCTCGCTGTGAATAAGATTGAGCTGCAGAAAGAGCATGCGGCGGGATGGGGGTGGGGGGGGCGTGGGGGGGGAGAGGGGGAGAGCATTGCGATTAGTCTGAACACAGCAAGTCCAGCAGTGAGCAGGATTAAGCACCACAAAACAAGCAGAATGCGCTAAAGCAGGAGGCAAAAAATGAGTCATTCTAAAGAAACGTCCACTTTTCTATCTCTCCATAGGAGTCATTGGTGTTACTGATCCTCATTGGTGTTACACATAATAAAGGAACACCAGAGACATTTTTAATTGTCTCATAACATTTAACTGCTACAGAACATGAAACCACATGTTGTCAATCATGGAATATCCACTAAAATATGGAATTTAATCCATTTGTGTTCTATTTTTTCACAATTACCTCAGAATAAAGTCGGTCACACCAGTGACTTCAGTTAAAGCTTCACATGAAATCATAAGCTGAATGAGAAAATCTCTGATAACTGAAAGACACAGTGAACTCACCATGTGCTTTTCTTCATAGATCCTCAGAAAACAGGTAAAAGGAAGTCAAGTGATGTCATCAGTGTGATTTTTATTTCAAAATAAGAGATTGTTTGTTACGCGGTAACACCAGTGACACGACTCCTGGGGACAACAACTTTCATTATATATTTTATAATATTTATTTGGCATTTGTTTTCTTTATGTCATTTAATTTATATATTCCATAGTCATGTATAGATTATTGTAGTTAAAATTGCAGAAAAACATGTTTTTTACTTTAAAATATGGCCTCAGCCTTCACACATGACTGTGAGGACGAGCTCTTCTGTGGTGCTTGGAATTCTAGATAATTGATTTAAAAACCAATATTGCTAAATTGAGGCTCAAGAAGGTGTAACTGTTAAAATAACTTATCGTTTTATTTTGAAATATAAATAAATCGTAACCCTAACATCTTTTTCAAATGTAATATATCTGTAAATGCTAGGGACACAAAAATGGACCTTTCTGTAGAATGACCCCAATGCACATTACAGCATGATTCCATTTAAATCACATTAATTTTTTTTAAATTTCATACCAAAGACCAGTGTGATACATGGTGATTATAGACCTTAACCCTCACAGATGTTCTTGTTCTAAGCTTTATTATTCAATAATGGCATTGAAAACAAGGCAAAGGATATTACAGGTTTAATATTCATAGGTGTTTTGTGGGAAAAGGGGTTAAAAAGCACATAAATTCTAAATAAAGGATGTCTGGTTTTTACAGTAGCCCAAAGATACAGACAGGCAGACTAAATACGTATGGAAACAGATTTAGGTACAAATACGGTAAAGAAAAATGAGGGACTTCATGTGTAAGCATGTTAATTTTATGGATAAATACACAGGTGTGACTGGAAAATTATATTTTACTTAAAAAAAAAGATACAAGCAAGTTTGATGTTAATTTACATTAAATATGTAAACATACATATATATATACACACACACACATATATATATATATATATATATATATATATATATATATATATATATAAACACATACATGTATTATGTACACTCTTAAAAAAATGATGGTGTGAGGGTCCTTTTGTAAAGAAAATGGTTCTATATGGAACCATTAATACTGAATACTGTTCTTTTCATCATTAAATAGTTCTTCTTCAGGTTAGTGGAGAATGTGTTGTATCTGGTTCTACATAGAACCTGTTTGAAAAGGGTTCTATAAAGCACCAAAAAGGGTTATGATATTGATCTTGTAACAACAGAACCATATACAACACATTCTCCATCAATCTGAAGAACCCTTTCCCAATGCAAATAAACCTTTAACCATGCAAAGCATTCTTTGAGTGTTTGTGGTTCTATATAGAACCATTTTTTTTTTACTAAAGAAATTTTAAAGAAACCATCTTAAGTTAGTATTATTTCTCTTGCAATAAGAAACTGTCACAATATGTTAATGATGAACTTTGTATTTATATATTTAAGCTTAAAAATTATTTATGAGCATATATTTGCCTATTATACAACAGTTAGTTCCAGTCTTGCAAGCTGATTGGTTGAGAAGCATTCTATGGGGAAATAACATCACGGTTTTTTCACAAACACTGTATCACTCCGCTGAGAGGCCGTTGCTAAGCAACGTCTTTGACAGCTGTAGGAGACGCTCAAGCCATTTGAACGTTTTTACTTCTTACTTTGCCACAAACAGAAAACGGACACTTTTAAGATCACATTTGACCGACAGCCGATTTGGTCAGACTCTGAAGATGAGACGACACTAAATTCCCAAACTGTCATCACCACTGAGCAGCTTTTCAGTTGGCAGCTGAGACAGAAGAACAGCTAAACAACCTGGAATCAGCCAGAAATGAACCCAACACCATTCGCCAAACTAAATGGGCTGTAAGATGCTTTACAGACTGGCTGGAACAAAACAACATTAATACTGATCTGGCAAAAACTGACAAAACCGAGCTGAACTTGATATTGCAGCAGTTTTATGGCTCAGTCTGATTTGGTCAGACTCTGAAGATCAGACTACACGTTTGGCGAATGGTATTGGGTTCATTTCTGGCTGATTCCAGGTTGTTTAGCTGTTCTTCTGTCACAGCTGCCGACTGAAAAGCTGCTCAGTGGTGACAGTTTGGGAATTTAGTGTAAGGAGCCGGAGAACGAACTGCCGGCTGTGCAGTGAGTGGGCGGAGCTCGTTACTCTGACGTAGCGACAAGCTGCTCGTTAAGGAACTATAATTTGGTGAAGGAACTGCAAACATTAAAACATATTAAACGCCTGTCACGGCTCTGATGATCTACAGCGACCAAATAACAGCCGTGATGTTATTTCCAAAATCTGCAAAAACCAGTCAGATAGTGTGAGACACCCAGTCTTTTATCATCTGTTAAGACTTTAAAAGTCATGTAGTACCCAATACTTAAGGCTGATATGTGTAAATATGCTCTGCTCTGATCGGTTGCCCTGTATTGTGCCTCATTCAAAAAGTAGTGCAGGCTAAAACACTCTTTATAACTTCAGCGTGAGTGGACGGGGCTACACTGATGTAGGCCGAATAGGTAAAATGATGAGTTTGATGTTTCTCAGAGCTTTTCTAGTCGAAGCTGTTAAAAGCTGACGGAAGATTCTCGCAGCATCAACTTCTCACATGTAAAGCTGTAAATGTAAAGGTAAAAATGTAAACTTCCCTCTGGAGAATGATGTAACTAGCGAAATGACCGCTATGTGAATGAGGCTGATTACTGACCTGCCCCCCTTTTTCACTCTTTTTACTGGAAAGTGTATCTGCAAGCCAACCTCAAAAATCAAGACCAAACAGAGAAAAGAAGAAAGACGCTTTCTCTCCTTACTCAAAAACGCCTCTTAGATAAATATCACTAAAAGGGTTTAATCTTTAAGCAAACAGAAGCACTTAATCTGAGGATGAATGAGACGGCAGTGGCTGCTGTGATGCTTTAAACGAAACAGGGCTCCTTTGTTTCAACACTGCTATATTCTACACTGTGATTGCTCAACTCGGGATGATGAACCGAGTAAATATTAATTCACATGAAGAATTTATGTTGAAATGGATTAAATGATCATGATGAACCGTGATGGCTCTCAAACTATTCACTGGAACTAAATACGACAGCATCCAAAATCAGGGGTTCATCGTTTCTACACTGAAAACAGTAAAGCACTGAACTGATTACATCATTTTCACAAAAATAAAATATTACATTCATATATTTGTCTTAAACCCTTTCAAGAGAAAGAGTTCTTTTATATATAATTTGCCATTTTATTTACGCCTTTGAATTAACGTAATAATAATGCTGACAATACTTCGAAGGTGAAAATGAATGAGCACCATGAACTGAGAAAAATAGATCTACAGGACTTATTTCATTTTAAGCAGCTTAATAATATTAATTATAGGTTTTAAATTAAGTTGTGAGTTTATGAAAATACGTTATGGTTTCCCAAATGCATCTAAAGCTGAATTCCACAGGGCCTCTTTGCACTATAAAAGGTGGAAAACCTCGTTTTTAACATGCAAAGCTTGTGGGGGGTGGCTTTTGTTACTGTTTGCTATCTAGTGCAAATCAGAGGAGGACAGGTTCCCCTTTAGAGTCTTGGTTCCTCTCAAGGTTTCTTCCTCTTGCTTTTAAGGAGTTTTTCTTGCCACTGTCGCCACTCATTGGGACTCGGACCCGGATTAAAAATTAGTAAAGCTGCTTTGTGACAACACCTGTTGTAAAAAGCGCCATATGAATAAACTTTGACTCGACTTGGCTCTGGAACTCTCATCCAGCAGTCTGATGTTTCTCCAGCAGGGGGTGCTATTAGCACACAAGTTGCTTTAGTGCATTTAGAGAAGAAACAGCCATGAACCCACACCAGCAGGATCTTACAAATACACCACAGCTTCAAAATCAGCTACAAGTTCAGTGCTTCTTTATATCTATCCTCCTCCAGAGGGCAGTGTAGAGCTGCATCTTACAGTCTGGTCAGAGTTTCTAATCTGAATAGTCCAGCGAAGGAAACAGGAAGACTACTGCAGCCGTAGAAAGGCTACCGCACACCGGACGAGACGCTCCACATTACGCAGCACACAGAAAACCGTTTTGTTAAAAAATCAAACCCAACATCATTTTACTCTCTACTGTATAGATTTAATGGAATAAAACATTCAGCATCCTTTAGTGAGTATATCGCTGTTGTCGGATGAAAACCTTGTATCTCCGAATTGGTAACTTTACAGGAGAAGGAAAAAACCTACTTTACTTTTACTGTAAGTCAATGGAACCAGACTTTTCTCCAAGTCATTTTGGGTCGTTTCTTTTAGTCCATCCATCATGAAATTTACAGACAATGTAAAGGACAACAGGCATTTTCAAATTATGTCAAAAACTGAAAAACAATCAAAATGGAGATACGAGGGTTTCTTCCGATAACAGCGATATAATCAAAATGCATCAATCATGCTTTTTTGGAGCACTAGGATCATAACATATTATATAAACTAGGGATGCATCGTTATTTTTTTCCAGACCAAGTATGTATAAGTATGTTTTTGCCCCTCATAGATACCGATTCTGATACCATACAGACTAATCTACTTACACTGAAGCTGTTGTTAGTGTAAATGAGTGCAACATACCTTTACAGCTAAATCATTCAAATCTAGCTGACTTTAAATGAAGTGCATTAGCTAGCTATGCTACATTAGTGATCTTGGATCGAGTAGCACTGCAGTGGAGAAGAGAGTTTTACCGAGAGCTGTCAGTAAAGTAGGTTTCATAGTTTTGATCCTCATCTGTCTCTTTCAGCAGCAGCACAGCGACAGCAGAAATCACATCTGAGGCTAACGCGTCCGAGGAGCTCACGCTTCCAGTTTTCCATCGTGTTGGAATCGTTTGATTGGCTGGTTGAGCTGTAGCTGAATGTCCTCTAATGCTGGACAGACACTGTGTGATTTTAGAAATCTTGTTCTTCGGTGATTCACACTAAGTTTTAATATGCCATCGTGTTCGAACAAAGCTACGGTTTATATACTCACACTGTACGAAAATGCTCTGTCTGACTGACCTGCTACGGGAAACACAGCTTCTACAGACGCTCTGTCTACAGACGATCATCCATAAAGCTGATTCATTCAGATCAACACACTGAGAAACTGAGCTTTGCTAACTTGGAACATACTGTGCACTGAAACCAAATCCTCCAAATTTTTACCTCATAATTCTATTCAGTCAAACAGATTAAAGCAGCATATTAGTGAATTTTCATGAGTAGAATTAAATAAGCACGGTATCGATATCGATGCATCCCTAATACAAACTATAAGTGTCATGATTATAACTGTAATTATAATAATCATAATGCTATGACTGTAACTGAATGAGAGAATAAAACATGTTAATTTTTGGGGAATAATCAACTATTTAAAATAATTCTGAATCATACAAAAATAATCTAACTGAACTGTAGTTATATTTGATTGCTTATGTTGCACTGAATCCTAAATAAATAAGTAAAAAAATAAATTGCTATAATAATTGACTGACAGAATCCCAGCTGACCAAGACGCTACTGATCAGTCCACTGAGAGGGAACATGCCTACACAGAACAACCCCACCATTAATTTTTAAATAATTAAAGTGAGGTTTGATAAGTGCAGCCATACCTTCTGTCCCAGGAAGAGGCTCTTTGTGGAAAGAACGGTGAATCCGTCAGCCGGAGTGTCGGTGGTGCTGTCAGCACTCGCAGATTTACTCCCATCACCCTTCTGCTCAAACAACAACGGACAATAACAATCAACCCTGCTTCTGCTAATACTTATACACACACACACACACACACACACAGAAATCTGTATCGGTATATTCAACATTGAAGGGTTTAATGAGCAGTGACCTGTACCTTCGCTCTTGAAGACTTTTTGGTGCCCAGTTTCTTGGCTGTTCCTGATTTTTTTCCGGTTTTTGTTTTCTTGGCTGGTGGGGGGGTGATGACCGCCTCCAGTTTGCCCTTTGACCCTCTCTTCTTCGCCAGCAGCTCGGGGTGGATGTTGGGTAAAACTCCACCTGCTGCGATGGTCACGCCCTTCAGCAGCTGTGCGCACACACACACACACGCACGCACACGCACGCATACACGCACGCATACACGCACGCATACACGCACGCACACACGCACGCACACACGCACGCACGCACACACACACACACACACACACACGCACGCACACGCACGCATACACGCACGCATACACGCACGCACACACGCACGCACACACGCACGCACACACGCACGCACACGCACACACACACACACACAAGGAAACAGATTCATGTTCCATATTCAGTATCAGAGCAATCAACAAGTCTAGGCAAGTTCAGTTCTGCTGGAGAGCCATTGGCAGACAAGTGTGTATGACACGGTGTAGTGGATCACTGCTGAACAAAAGCTGGCATGTCCAAAATGGTAACTTTAATGTGTGTGTGTACATATACACATACATACACACACATATATATGGTATATATACTGAGAATAGTCCACCAGCCAAAAATATCCAGCCAACAGCGTCCTGTGACCACTGATGAAGGACTAGAGGATGACCAACACAAACTGTGCAGCAGCAGATGAGCTATTGTCTCTGACTTTACATCTACAAGGTGGACTGACGAGGCAGGAGTGTCTAATAGAGTGGACAGTGTTTAAAAACTCCAGCAGCACTGCTGTGTCTGATCCACTCAGACCAGCACAACACACACTAACACACCACCACCACGTCAGTGTTACTGCAGTGCTGAGAATAATCCATCACCCAAATAATACCCAAATAATACCTGCTCTGTGGGGGTCCATGGGGGTCCTGACCACTGAAGAACAGGGTAACAAAGTATGCAGTGAAACAGATGGACTACAGTCTGTAATTGTAGAATTACAAAGTGAAACTATATGGTCAGTGGTTATGTACAGGTTTGCCCTGGTCAAAGTTTTTGTTATTTTGTTGATTTGCTGAATTGAACATAACAGAAAAGAAAAGAAAAACATAAAATGAGGCCTGTGCAAAAGTTATGGCACATTTTATACGTTACATCTTTTTCTTCCCAACATGTTAAACAGCAAATAAATGGAAAAATGGCATATTTAAGTTCTCTGTAGAGCAGGCATGCCAAACCAGAGACCTTCCTGGCCAAAGTGCTGTGGAGATCAGCTTTTACCCTCATCTAAAATTTTGAATTCAGTTCATGAAGGCACTGCTAACTAGCTGATGAGCTTAATCAGGCGTGTTTAAAGGACTGAAGCCTGACACACGTGTTGTAGAGAATGTGTTACTTATTTTCACTTAAAACATTAACAAGACGTAGTGTGACCGGAGGTGTTCAAACTTCTGCACATAACTGTACATGCCTCTTCCGTCTTTTTACACTGGCTGAGCCGTTCACGTCTTTTCCGCACTGAAACTCAGACTAGTGCTCAATAACTAGCAGCTGAATGCAGTGATATCTCGGACTGAACGAAGCGAGAGCTCAGGCTCAATTTTCTTTTTCTTCCAAAAACATGAGCTATAGCTGCAGCGCCATGTGAAACAGGAAAACACTTCTTATCACAGCTAAGCTCCTTTAAGACTGACCTTTGAATAAGAGAGTGGAAATAAAGTGCAGTGTTTTAGAGGATTATTTGGGCAGAGTTCTCTCTCTCTCTCTCTCTCTCTCTCTCTCTCTCTCTCTCTCTCTCTCTCTCTCTCTCTCTCTCAGAGAAATCAAACCACTCCCACAGTCCATTAACCAACAAATAATCTCTGTTCGCTGCACATGCCGGAGCTCCTGAGTGTAAAGCCGAGCCTGCGGTCTTTAATTTTACCTGATTGAGCTCCTCGTCGTTGGCCACAGCCAGCAGGATGTGTCTGGGAGTAACACGGCCTTTCTTATTGTCCCGCGCTGCGTTTCCCGCCAACTCCAGAATTTCAGCTGAAACAGTTACAGCAAAACTGATTCAGTACAATTACTTTTAATAATAACAATAATTCTCAAACATATTGAATTAATTATTAATATTGTTGAGTTTTATTTCGTTGTTGTCAGAAGAAAACTTTACAGGAAAAGTAACCTGCTTTACTTTTACTGTAAGTCATTGGAACAAGGCTTTTTTCCAAGTAATTTTGGGCCGTTTCTTTTGGTCCACTGTGAAATTTACACACAATGTAAAGAACAACAAGTATTTTCAAATTCAGTTAAAAACTGAAAAACGACAAAAATGGAGATACAAGGTTTTCTTCTGACAGCAGCGATACACATACATATATACACATATATGTGTGTGTATGTGTTTTTTACCTATGGTTCTGGTGGGTCCAGATTTAAACTATAGAGAATATTTGATCTCACATTAAACACAAACCAGCTCAGTAATGTTTTTCAGCTGTTTGAAGCCGTCAGTGCTGAGTGGATCAATACTGACTCTTATTTCTGTAAAAGACTGTCTGCATATTTACACATTAAACTGCAACATTTCATATCAAAATGAAAAGCTCTCCCATATTAAGATGCTATACATTTTTTAATAATTTGTTGTTAAGATCATTTTTTTACACAATATATATTTACAAAGTATATATTCAAATTGTTATTAATCCCATAAACGGCCAAGATTCGCTGTCAGTCCTATGACTTAAAAATTACTGTCAGTTTGCATTGCTTATTTACTGAATAATAAGTCGCTGTAAGAGGCTTGGGAATTAAAGAGGATGTTAATAATAATAATAATAATAATAATAATATGTTCGGCATTTTTAACATGGTCTATTTCAAATTAGGGCCCAACTGACATATCACATCGCAATCACAATCAGAATCACTTTATTTTGCCAAGTATGTTGCACATACAAAGATTTTTTTTTTTTTAATATTATAATTTAATAATGATGTTATCTGTATTACGTAAGTAATCAGCAGTTAATTTGCCTGCTTTCAGGGTCTGTGATACTCCTCAGGCTGTCTCATCCACTGGCTCTGCTGAGTCAATGGACTCCATCTCCCAGGATTCCATGCGAGGCCACATGACACCTACATCTACGCTCTCCACCAATCACAACTCACTTCATCGTTCTGGGTCACCTGAGTACTGACTGTTTTCACTTGTTGCCAATTTTAGTTTCATCATAAACACTGGACTGTTTCTTTCATGTGTTGTGCAGTGTTGCTGTTGTGTTCACAGTGCATACTGAGCATGTTTCTCCTCGTCTGAGAGCATCGTGGTTTTGACCTGCTCTGTTGTTTTGCTTCTGCCTTTTGTTTCTGGTTGCTATTTTGGGATTGCCTATTTCGGCTCTTCGACCTGGATCCGTTTTTTGCTACTCTTTGGCTTTAACCTTATGCATCTCTCTCGGTTTTGACTTGGGCCTGTTTTTGCACTAAGATTAGACTAGATTAGATTAGATAAAATGATCCTTTATTAGTCCCACAGTGGGGAAATTCTCAGTGCTACTGCAGCAAAGGGAGCGCAAGGCACTCAAGAAAATAAAAGAAGTAACAAGAAGAGAATTAACCAGCAAGTAATTAACCTTTTTAACTACTTAACAAGGTTTTTACAGTTTGTTATTTGTTACTTTATAGACAATACATATAATACTAAAAGTAAAAAATAAGATAAATATAAACTCTATCCTTCACAAAAATTAATAATATATAGGATTATATATAAATAAAAGCTAAAATATTTTACTATGTTTTAGGAAAACGCTGTTGTCATTAAAGTCATCTTATTTACTTTTATCTGTGAGCGTCTGTCTTGTTTTTGGAGAGTTAAGACGCGACACCAGCAGGATTCAAACTCACAATCTCCAGACATTAGTGAGTTTGATCATACCAGGCAGGACGGCACTGTTTAACTACAACTATTGGTGTAAAGAACTAAATTTTAAACTACAAATATAAAACTCTGTACATATTAATGATATTATGAATTATCTGAGTTTTTGGAATGATGACAAAAGCAGCCGATTCCTCACCGGTCAGATACTCCAGAACCGCAGCCATGTAAACTGGAGCGCCCACGCCGATCCTGTATTTGGGGAGGCCTCTCTTAATGTAGCGCAGCATTCGGCCCACGGGGAAGATCACCCCAGCTTTAGTGGACCTGGACGTCTTCGTGGTCTTCTTCTTTCCTCCTCGGCTAGACATTCTGCTACAGCCAGTGTGAGGTCCTGCACAGATGGATCCATTATTAATCACACGCTCACTTATTTATCTCCTGCAGAATCATATTTTAAAGTAAGACTGGAAGGATGTTCATTATTAACGTGCTGCGCAGGGTAACAGTTATGGAAATGACCAAAGATCAGAATTATACCTGATGTTGGCATGAAAACATGATGAATATTATTATTATTATTACTATTATTATTATCTGTAGTAGGGCACAAAAACTAAAAACTGAAATGTAATTTTCTTTCTAAGTTTCAGGTTTGAAAGTGGACAGTAAACCATGTATGAATCTGTTAAACCTGTAAATTACTCAAATTCGCTGGAATAAATAGTCTGTAGCCTTTAATCTGTGTTAGTGTTAATTCTGCATTATAGTCTTTAATCTGTGTTACACTATTTGTTCGGTGTTACAGTCTGTAATCTGTGTTACAGTATTTATTCTGTATTAATCTGTAAACAGTCCTTAATCTTTGTTAGTGTTCATTCTGTATTGCAGTTTTTAATCTGTTACAGTATTTATTCTACATTACACTCTGTAATCTGAGTTAGTGTTTATTCTGCATTTCAGTATTTAATGTTTTACAGTATTTATTCTATATTATACCATGTAATGTGTTACTGTTTATTCTGTATTACAGTCTGTAATCTGTTACAGCGTTTAATTTGTATTACAGCCTGTATACGATTACAATGTTTATTCTATATTAGAGTTTTTAGTATATTATACCATTTATTTTATATTACACTGTTTAATATTTATTCTGCATTATAGTGTTTATTCTATATTACAGTTTCCAGACCCAGATCAAGTTTAAAGCTAAACTACAAACAATTTCCCATAGTGGTTTGCCTTTAGCCCTGCAATTAATTCCAAGACTAGTCTTGATCCGTGTCCAGGTAACCAATCCTCAGTCTGCACTGTGTTTGTTGTATGTTACCCTGTTGCTGTGGTTACTGTGTGTACAGCATGTTCACTAATGTGTTTACTGTGTGTTAATCTGTAGTGCAGTGTGTACAGCATGTTCACTGTAATGCTGTGTTTACTGTGTGTTAGTCTATAGTGCAGTGTACAGTATGTTCACTGTAATGCTGTGGTTACTGTGTTAGTCTGTAGTGCAGTGTGTACAGTATGTTCACTGTAATGCTGTGGTTACTGTGTTAGTCTGTAGTGCAGTGTGTACAGTATGTTCACTGTAATGCTGTGGTTACTGTGTTAGTCTGTAGTGCAGTGTGTACAGTATGTTCACTGTAATGCTGTAATGTGTTTACTGTGTGTTAGTCTGTAGTGCAGTGTGTACAGTATGTTCACTGTAATGCTGTGGTTACTGTGTGTTAGTCTGTAGTGCAGTGTGTACAGTATGTTCACTGTAATGCTGTGGTTACTGTGTTAGTCTGTAGTGCAGTGTGTACAGTATGTTCACTGCACTGTGGTGGTGTTTCAGTGTTCAGGCCTGAGTGCTGTGGGTGCTGATCTGTAGCCCGGACTGTCTCTGTAGGCCTCAGCTGGTCTGGTTGTGCGGTGCTGCAGGTTAGACAGAGCAGATAAACCCTTAAACCCCCAAATAAGCTCTGTGTGGTTCCTGTTCGGTTCTTTAAGCTGGTCTCGGCCCTGTCTGGTTCTCCTGCTGAGCCCGAACAGCAGAGCAGACAGAGCACCGCGCTCAGACTAAACAAACCCAAACACAGCAGAAACACACAGACCACACATTACTCACAGCTCAGCTGGGTCAGAGTTCGGCTCTTGCTCGGGTCAGTGTTCGGGTCGGTCCGGCTCGGTTCTGCTGGAGGAGAAACAGACCCGCCGTGCCTTCTGTTCCCACAATCCCCACCGCTGAATGTGTTTCGTGGGGAAACAGAGAGCGGAGCACAAACGGGCCCAGGCTTAAAGGGGAACGGCGGAGGGAAAAGTGAAGAACTGCGCCATCTGCTGGTAGCGCCCAAATCTCCATACAATTCTATGTATGAAGTCTGTGTGTATGTAGATATGTATGCTATGTATATCTATGGTATGTATGCATGTATTTATTTATCTAGTTATTTATTTATTTGTGCGTTTATTGTGTTTTTTATTTTATTTTTCTCTTTGTTAAATAGTTAACAGTGTGCTTGACTGGTCTGTTCAGTTTGTTAATGTCATACATGTATGACTTACCAAGACGATTTTTGTATGTGTAACATATTTGGTAAATTCAGATTCTAAATAAAAGCGCTTTTTCTTCTGGTGAAAAACTATAGTTTTGCTTTCTACTGTCAATTAATCATTTAGAACCCTTATATATTGTCACGTATAACTAAACATGGACGTGTTATGTTGTACACCATGCAGCCTAATGCTTATCACCTCCAATTCATTGTTAAAGATGAGACACGTCACGTTTCTTTTGATGTATGAAAAAACAACACTTTTTTTAGATTGTAAAGATGTTTATATTTACAGTCAGTAGTTTTTTTTTTTTTTAAAGTCTGACTATTTCTGTCTGGGTAATATAACAACTGTATAGGATGAGACATATTTGAAAATGCTTATTTTCTTGTACTAACTAACTAACTAACTAACTAAATAAATAAATAAATAGAACGAAATAATTGTTGTTTTTTTTATCACAAAGCAATACCGAGGCTAACATTTTAATGCCAGAACTAACTCTTTTGCGGCGATCTTCGCGATTTCTACTCTGAAAACCAGTAAACGTGAACATAGATTATATCTGAAATCCATATCATTAGTAATCAATAAGTGAAGCGTCTCCCTAAGAGCGTCACTCTGTGTCTGTGAGAGGGCGGAAGGAAAAGTAGTTCCTATCTCATATTCATTCATTACAATAATTTTTACACTTTTTTAGCTTAAAATACAGATCCTGTCCCAAAAAAGACAGCTATACAATTTACTGATTACGGAAAACACTTAAATGGTTTAATTGCCAAAAAGAAACGTGAGGCTCGGCTGTATCCATCCGCCAACGGACTGCAGCACAACCGTCAAGACAGGGTGCAGCAGCAGTGGCAGGAGTATGAGCTCCTCAGCAAAACGTACAAATATATTAGTTAAATATAGACATAAACGAAAAATATATATACCTGCCCGAATGTAAAGGAGCAGAGTACATACTAGACAACTCTAGAAGATATTAGGACTTGCCAGAAACGTATTTTGACCAAAAAAAAAAAATCAAAGAAAAGTGAATACCGTTAGCTAAAATGCTAACCTGAGGTAAAACTAAAACGGGAGAATTCAGGCGCAGAAAGAAACTATTAATAATGAAAGTGTCTAGAAATTCGAAATAATCCATTATATAAAAAAGGGCAACGATAAAAAGGAAAAGATTGTAAAACACAGGTAAGTTTGGTGACCATTTTATCACAGCTAACAAAAATAGCCTATTTTTTGCGATTAGCTAAGTTAGCCACAGCTAACAGTGACCGTTATGAATGGATACATTTGAACGCTCAGAGGGGGCGGAGCCTGAGAAGCCTCCCTGTTGGTGACGTGGACAATAGCAAGCTGATTTATGCAGAACCCTTAAAGTAACGTGATTTATTTTTAATGAAATTAATATACATTTTAATGAAATTAATATACATTTCTCATATTTCACGGCCTCAAAATATTAGTTTGTGGCTTTCATAGTATTATGTGGCCTTAGTTTAGTAACTCGTGTTCTGTATAGTAACGTTAAATTGTGGCGTGCATTTAGTAAGTTGTGGCGTTAAGATAGTAATTTGTGGCCTCAGTATAGTAATTTGTGGCTTCAGTGTAGTAAAGTGTGGCCTCAATATAGTAAGTTAGGGTCTCAAAAAAGTAATTTCCAGCCTCAATATAGTAATTCATTGTCTCCTTATAGTAAATTATGGTGTCAATATAGCACATTTTGGCCTCAATATGTTAGTTTGTGGTTTCAATATAGTAATTTGTGGTCAAAATATAGTAATTTGTGGCCTCAATAAATTAATCTTCCTAAATACATTAATCTTTGGCCTCAGTACAGTAAATTGTGGCCTCAATGTAGTAAGTGTGGCCTCAGTAAAGTAATTCATGGCCCCAGTTTATTAATTTGTGGCATCTATACGTATATTAATTTGTGGCCAAGCCCTATTAAAAATAATAAGATAATATCTTTTAAAATTACATTTAAGCACCTGCCATGAGATCTGTTGCAGTACAAATGCAATAAATTCTGTATTTTAAAACAGTGTATATTTAGTTATACAGCATTGTCCTGCTTTTAAACGCTGTTATATTTCACTGAACTGCTGTTATAATACACTGACAACTACCTAAGGTAGCTTTCATGGGGATGATAGTTTTTATGCATTACTGTCAAAACTAGCCTAAGATAACAGGCAGTGTGACAGCATTATAAACAATAAAAACATGTAGAATGCAAATAAACAACAGATAAAACAGTTAAAATCAAAAATTTTTAATTGAAATAAATAAAACAGACTAAATATATATTTTAAAATTTATATTCTCATTAGAACTACAGAATATAGAATGTAGAAGACTACAGAATCTGTCACCTGGATGGCATCACTGTCATGAGTTTCAACTGTATTTTAATTTTCGTATTTATATATAATTTATATTGTATCTGTAGCTAATTTGCTTGGACTCTTGTAGAATGACTGTTTCAAAAAAGCTGTAGAATAAAATGATTATTTTAATGCAATGAAAAAGTTCACTATAGAGAAATGAACAGAGATTGAAAAATGTTTTGAACACAGCCAGCAGATGGCGTAGGTCTGCTTTCCCTCCCCATTAATAATTGCAGTGTGCACCAGGCATAACATTATGAGCACCTCTTTGTTTCTACGCTCATTTTCCATTTTATCAGCTCCACTTACTATATAGGTGCACTTTGTAGCTCTACAGTTACAGACTGTAGTCCATCTGTTTCTCTGCATACTTTGCCACTGCAGGTTGTGCTGACTTTTTGCATTCCAGGAAAAATATGCAGTGTAGAAGAGAATTATGAGTGCAGGTTTACAATTTGATACTTTGATACTGAAAACTGAATACTTGTTTGTTTGTTTATTCTTTAATAGTTCCTAGCGACAACCAAATATGCAGCTTTTTAAAACAACGGTTTCTGGCCAGCTGACACGAGCAGCATCAGTTCAACATTTCATCTGCTGGGTCTCAGAACAGGAGTTGTGGATGTGAGCTTGGAGTCAAAATCAGGGTCATGATTAGAGATGTAAGTAAAATCAGCTTTTATTGTTTTTAGCTTAGTGTCTTAACCAGAAAGGTAATGTCATGTTTTTGGTCTTCTTTATGTTCTCTTTGGTTTCCCCAACACTTACACCTGCTCAGGGGTTTACTAACTACTGAGCACAACATACAAACCAGTTTGTGTGGAGCAGTCTTTCTTTAATTTAGGAATGCGTAAGCCTGAACTTAGTAAGCACTTGTATTATAACCAGCCTACATTTGAACTCATGTACAGCTGATGCAACTGGCTCTGGTTCCTTTTGTGCAGGCCAAAGTGGGACATTATATACAGTCGTATGTAAAAGTTTGGGCACCCCTTTTACCCTGTTCTTCAGTGGTCAGGACCCCCCTGGACCACCACAGAGCAGGTACTATTTGGATGGTGGATCATTCTCAGCACTGCAGTGACACTGATGTGGTGGTGATGTGTTAGTGTGTGTTGTGCTGGTCTGAGTGGATCAGACACAGCAGTGCTGCTGGAGTTTTTAAACACCTCAGTGTCCACTTACTGTCCACTCTATTAGACATTGTCAGTCCACCTTGTAGATGTAAAGTCAGAGGCGATAGCTCATCTGCTGCTGCGCAGTTTGTGTTGGTCATCCTCTAGTCCTTCATCAGTGGTCACAGGACGCTGCCCATAGGACACTGTTGGCTGGATATTTTTGGTTGGTGGACTATTCTCAGTCCAGCAGTGACACTGAGGTGTTTAAAAACTCCAGCAGCACTGCTGTGTCTGATCCACTCGTACCAGCGCAACACACACTAACACACCACCACCACGTCAGTGTTACTGCAGTGCTGAGAATGATCCACCACCCAAATAGTACCTGCTCTGTGAGGGTCCATGGGGGTCCTGACCACTGAAGAACAGGGTAAAAGGGGGCTAACAAAGTATGCAGAGAAACAGATGGACTACAGTCTGTAACTGTAGAACTACAGAGTGCACCTATATAGTAAGTGGAGCTGATAAAATGGACAATGAGCGTAGAAACAAGGAGGTGGTCATAATGTTATGCCTGATTGGTGTATTACACAGCGCTGCTGCAGTTATATTTATCATTATGATTATTTACATTACAATATGTTACAGTATGCTTTTCTGAGCATATTGTGGATATTCTCAGTACTTCACTGCATATTTGATTACAAAGAGAGCATAATTAGTCCTGTTAAATTATTTTTAGAGCAGCACAGTGTGTAAAATGTTAAATACAAATAATTGAATTTATAGTTTTTAATAGTATTTTTAAATCTAGGATTACTTTGACTGTTTTAACTTATCAGACATCAGAGAAAATGAATATTGTAACATATCGTGTATCGCAAAAACCTCTTAACATATATTGAAATGACATTTTTCCATATCCTTCACCTCTAATGGAAAGTAATATTGATGTAGTACAACTGCAGCATTAAAACCAGCAGTGCAGTACGAAAAACTGCATATTTTTAAAACTGAAAAACTGATTTTGTTCTTTTTTTTAAGGGTTCTCCAAGAAACCTGTTGCTGGTGAAGAGTGTGAAGTTGGAGCTAGTGGCATTCTTACTGGACAGGTAAGTTAACATGATCAGAATAAAATGGTCATTTCTGTGAGTCAGTGGGCGGATTGACGTGAAGAATCAGGCAGCTTACAGCTTATCGACATAGACAGTTAAAGGCACTGATTTCGGGTGAAC